TGCACCTCATTACAAATGGCCGGACTGACCAATTGAGCATTCCTCGTCAGCTCACTACATGTATTTTCGTGCTACCGACACAAGTACGACCCCAAAACTACGCCCACCCCCCTGTTTGTACTTGTCCCAAGATAAGGTTGACCCTGGTCGCAGCACATATTGTAGTGATTCCGAGTGAAGTTATAGGCCGATGTCAGACTTTGCGAATCGCGCGATTCGCTAGCGTCCGCGGTCGCGTTGCGGTACCAGCCAATTGAGTGATTCACTGGCCGCGACGCGACGCTAGCGAATCGCGCGATTCGCAAAGTCTGACATCGGCCATACAGAATTATCTCCCACATCATACAACACGCGCTGCGGCTCGTCTGTCGACCCGTCTGCGTCACTGCCTCCTCGCTGCGTGAGGAGCCCCTGTCAGGTACTCAATCCTTCCCATTGATTCTCCAGTAATTTCAGCATGATATCATTCTATTTCACGTCTTATTGACCATGAGAGTACCACATTTCTGTCCATTTATGAAAATCTGCTTTTTCTGCTGCTTGTTCATTGACAAAAACGACTTACAAAGTGCGGGAAGCTGCTTAGTTTTCGGCACTGATTGTTCGACAATCTCCAAAACCGTGCACATAGCGAGGATGGCAGCAAAGCCGAGAGCAAGCTGAAATCACACGTCTGCTGGATGGTCCAGTTCCAATTCTATTAGATATGCGATGCAGATGTGAACCGTAAAAAAAGGAAATCAATCTGAAGCTGTTGTGTTCGATGGTACACTTCCGGACGCTGATTGACGCGATGGGCGACTGCTGACGTCGCCGACTTCAACGCGCTGCTGCCCCCCCCCCCGTGCGCGCCGACAGACAACGATCTGCGACTTGCGCTGCCATTGAGGAACGGGCACAGCCGGAAAGTCAGTCCCAGCCAGTCGCCAGCCCTGAAACCTTTTCGGTGCCAGCATAGTTGGAGGGGGATACGCAACGGCGCAGCGCTTTGTTCGCATGTTCTCCAAGGCTGGGTGTATGTCAACAGAATCGTCCGGAACCCCCCGCTACTGGTCGTGGTCAAGACGTCGCGACTGCTATGGACGAGTTTCTTCGAAAGTTATTTGAATTTGATGTTAAAGAGACACCGAGTCGACCCCACCCCAACACTCAGTTTCAGTCGAAGCGTGGAGAGTTTTTCGTTCTCTCGGGCCCTTCTTTCCGCTCTTTTTCAATGTGACGATAATAACATAAACTTTGAAACTTGGGGAACAACTTTGTTCGCTCCACTTCTTATGAAAGAGTGAAGGTAGAAAATTCCAGATTCGCTGATATCCGCTTCCCACCATAGTTTTGTTTGTACGCTCTGAATCGTCAAGAAATAAACTGCAGCGTCGCACTGTAAAGAGGCCGCATTGCGACCCGCTCTCGGACGATTCTCACCGCTACCCAAGGAGCAGACGAGCATAGGGCCGCGCCGCCCGCGTTGCCCCTCCAACTAAGCTAAGATCCCTTTCCTGCCACTACCGACACGCTCTCGTTGCGGAAACGCGACTCGCTTCTTCAGAATTCTTCTTACTCCTCGCTTCTTCGGAAGTCTTGCGTTCCCTAATAGTGGTCCTATTTTCTGTTGTTGTAAATATTCCCTGCCTTTGAGTGTTGTACGAACTTCCAACGTTCCTACTTCGTAAATCAATCAATGAAACCAACCTTATCCAAATAGTCCGTTTTGTCGAATTTTGTCCAGAAAAGCCCCAGTACGCAAAGGAAAGTAAGGATGAAAGAAGGCAGAACCAACATAACAATATAGAATGTGGAACTCCGTTTTACGTGGATTGTGAAGTATACCTACAATATTTTTTTTTTTTTTAGTTTTTTTTTTATTTCGAGTGTGCTCTTGTAAAACATAACGCGAAGCTATACGTTATTAGAAAGGAACTCGATATAAACTTGCGTCATAGTTGACCAACTGCGAATTGCGTGATGCGAATGTGCAACCACACCCTACACTAAGGCCGATGTCAGACTTTGCGAATCGCGCGATTCGCTAGCGTCTGCGGTCGCGTCGCGGCCAGTGAATCACTCAATTGGCTGGTACCGCAACGCGACCGCGGACGCTAGCGAATCGCGCGAATCGCTAGTAGCGAATCGCGCGATTCGCAAAGTCTGACATCGGCCTAACGAGGATAGTTTTGATAAACTGCCTAATTCTTGTTCCTTCGAATAGTGCGCATAGTTTTTTATATGAAACGCAAAACGTACTCACTATACTTTAATAACTATAGTATTGCACTGCGTGGATACAAATAAAAAGATGACAACGTAAGCAAACGTGGCCGATGAATGCAGACAATAGATGCTGTCCTATACTACGAGGGACACACATATGTCCCACCACCAACTGGCAAGCCTCTATGAAATAATGTACCCGTTTAGAAAATGAGTTATGCACGGAGAGAAAAAATCTTAACTCTGACAAATTAGCCCATATACAGTGCGTACCAAAAGTATGTGGGCACTCTAAAAATTTTCCTTCTCTGAGGACTGTTGACTTCTGCACCATGAGATCACCACCATTCGATTTTTCGGATACGGATAACCTTAGATTTTTCATTTCTCACCGTTTTTTTTAAATTTTTTTAATTAATGGAAAAACTTTCCCCTGCTTTCCCTGTATCAAAAGTATGTGGACACTTTTCAAAAACAGAAATATCTTCAGAATCAAAGAATGGTAGGCCTATCGAAGATTCTGATGAGCTCAATCATTTTGTAGCACCTGTAGTGAAAGGATTCCGTTTGCAGGACTAATTGGTACCGTTCCCCGAACGCTGCGTCCGACAGCCGTGCCTGCAGAGCAGCACAAACTGTGCCTTTGCCCCTTTGACTACAGTGGTACAAAATTGAACGGCTAGGAAATGAACGGTCAAAAGGGAATCGATTAAGTGCCACGAATCAGAAAACTGACCAGTTCGAAGCTTGGCAATCCGTCTTCACGTAATATAGTGGCGTCTTCAGTAGTTATGTTAACCACATTCCATTCACCGGTGCCCTGGAATAAAGCTATTTCAACAGATGACACGGTTATTCGCTTGCACCAACACCAATGCCTGTTCCATTAACTGCTTCCATTATGAGAGAAAACAAGATAAACACTGCTCAGATACGAAACTTGGGATCGACACAATTGTTGGGTAACAGCACTGACTATGGTCAGCACCGAAACTATGACCCTATGAGCATAATCCCAGCTACTTTCCCACTCTGCACAGAACTTCTGTAAGCAGGACTCCTGTTGCCCAGGGTTCAAAGGCATGGTCAAGCACTAAGCACGCTTGAATGTTCCATCCCGGATCATGGAAGACAGGCGGACAAGTGTTGATGTCGTGCTTTTTTGCGGCTTGGATTGCGCGACAAAGGCGATAGAAGTTCGCTTGACCTCGAATCCATACCTTTGTCCCGCCACGCTGACGTTGCCGAGAAGAGCCGCAGAACGATTATTTACGGGTCGATTGTCATTGAGAAGCGAACTTCAAACTAGCCGTAGGTGAATTTAGTCTAGTCCAGACACGCCCCTTCTCCAACCCCAATTAAAATGGCACTGAACTAGAGAGAAACCTTTTCCGCGCTATTACCCCATTTTATCTAGGAACTTGCCTTCAAGATCGCGTAATGATGGTCTACAGCCTGTCCATGAACTAGTTTAGCTCGAGTCATGCACCAAGCTGCTGTAGCAGGTTCTTCGAAGTTTTTTTTTTGCTTTCACCCCCTCCCTCTTCAACACACTCCTTACTTTCATGAAATTGTGATTTGGCCAGCAATGAAGAAAATTAAGGGTCCTTGGTTACATAGCGTCCGGGTTTCGTACGGACCTGCTACCTGGTGATGCTTGCGCTACCAATAGTGACTTTGTGAGGCACTAATTGTAATTTGACCCTACACCCGTTCAATTTTTACATCTAACCTTCATGCCATTTTTGGGATCTCCTTTGGGAAGGAGTGCTTCCCCGGGCAACTCTTCGGCTCCGCGCCCATTTTTGCTCCTCTACGCTTCACTCCTGTAGAATTTCAGCTTACAACTTGAGATTTTTTGATCTCATTCTAGCCTCTGCGTAGAACGGTTATTGGCAGCAGTTCATCGAATTTTCACCGCAACGAGCCATTCCCGCTTTCCCCCCCCCCCCCACTCCTCTCTATACATTCATTCGGGAGACGTAGAGGTCGCTTGAACGCGAACTTCTGATAGACAACTTTCAATGGTTGGCACGTCCAAACAGTAGTGCAGTGCCTGAAGTGAAGAATGGCAGTTAATAACGTCTTACCACGGTTGATATGTCGTAGAGAGCTTTTACGGCAGGCACAATTTTGACCTCTCTTGACCAAAACGCGTTGGAGGAAAAGCCCACATAACAAACTTGATGGTCAAACGGAAAACTTTGTATCTGAAATTCTTACTGTGAGAGAGACCGCTCTGACGAGATGAAAGACTGAGGTGTTTCACTGAAGAAATATCACAGTGGGTACTTTCGTGCCAAACATTATAATAAGGCCTTGAGGACTTCATTATCACAGGTGTACTTGCGTAGCTAAACATTATAATAGAGGTCGAGCTTTATTACCAATAAACAACTTGTGGTTGTGTGTCTGTCTAACCGGAAATTCATAACATCCCTCCCTTTGGTCCCAAAAACCTCCCGAGCGCTCACACTTCTAGGGAATATGGGATCGTGACAGGATTGTCGATGATGGGTGGTCGAAATTGATATCTATTGATTAGAGTAGATAATCGGGGCGGAATCTCGACTGTCGACGTGGGACTGGAAAAATTCGTGACAGCAAAGTGGATAAGAGCTGATAACGGCCGCTCAGCAATATCAAGCCCCAATTTTCGGCTGTCGAATAATCCTCCTAACATGACAGAAGTGAGCGTGGGAGCTCTTCGCGCTTATATTTTAGTGCATGCCGTCTCCAACAACCCCGCTTTGGCGAAGACGACGTGTCCGGAGCCAAAGGATTTGGAGCGCACAGTTTCGTAAGCAATCAAAAGTCAGGACTTGCTAATTGCAAAGAAATCACGGAACAGAGAGGTCGAGCACAAGTTGTAATTTGTGAATGACTGTTGGAATGAAGCGCCTTTTGAGTGGAACCCTTGGGTACCATTATATTAAGAGTATCAAGAAAAACGCCGGATCAAATGCCACATTTCTTCACGAAAACTGTTCACGAGCTAGACAATGACATTTTCGGGCCCCTAAGGCAAGCAAATCTAGAAGAGCACTCGGGCAGTGACTGGGATGGATGAAGTGCTTGCACGCGCCCGGACGAAGAATTGGTGATCAGCGGGACGGCAGTGATACGGGTGATAAATGATACAGCATGATTATATGTAGAAATTTCAGTTTTGTTTTGCGAATATTAATTAGCGCTATAGCTTGATACGGATGCAGCTCTAGAGCTAGGCCTAGGAGCGGTAGGAATTTCAGGGAAACTGAAAATTACTAATGCACTCTGGAATCTATTTCTACTCCCCGCTCAAGGCCCGTTTTTACGTGCAGGGAGAATTTTCGAGCGGTTTTAAGTGCACTACCACCACAATGCCCCCGTATCATGCGATAGCGCTTATTAATCGCCGAGACTTACGTTTAAAGGGCACACGACTGTGACTACACGCGACGCATAATGATGTACATCGCCGTTGCTTTTCACCTAAATTAGCATATTGATAAGAACAGCAACTTTTTGCACAGTTCCGAGTAACCCACCCAGTAATGAACAGAGCAAACACAACTGCTAGGAACCCATAAAAGCACATTGTACACTATTCCGCTATTCCACTTCTTGGCCTCTACCTTCTCATTGGTTACCTCTTCATCATGAAGCGATAACGTACTATTAAAGGGGCAGACAACAGTAACAAAATGAGGTTGTGAGGAAAGATCCCTCCCACGCTTGTGGTTTCAGGGACTCTAAGCGAATTTGCTTGCTCTTACGCTCACAGGTCGACCCGTAATAGCATACCTATTTCCATTTACAGACACACTTACTAATCGTGGGATGTGCCTTCAAATACGCTGTGTGTGCGAACTTAAAGGCACGAGTCGGGATTGAATTGATGCGTTATTTTGTTCAAACATTAGGCAAGGGGTGCAATGAGGAACATTAGTGAGGAGAAAAAGCAAAAAGCACCATAGAAAACACTAAATTTCCCTTAGGAGGCCGGCCGTAGTACGACGGAGAGACACAGCGCTGCGAGGAGAGGGAGAACGCGAGATAGTACGTCGTACGCGAGAGGACGCAGAGACCACGTATGCCGTGGTGGATTACGCTGGCAGCGCGGGCAGCGCGGCGGGCAAGGCCTTAGCGCCATTGCCGCGCACTTTTGGGTCGCGATAGTGTCGCGCCCTCAGTGCTTGGGGAGCCCACTATCGCACCCTGGAAGAACTTCTGCTGGTTGCCTAATCCTGACTCGTGGCTTTAAGGACGAGATGGATAAATTGACATAACTTATTAACAAATTCGATGTAATTGGAGGAAACTGTTCAAGCATAATGCTAGAAGCCTTACAGTCATGGCTATCGAAAGTTAGTAGAACCCAATAGTGCGGCCGGGCTCAATCTGAACTAATATAATGGAAGGGGCCCCCGCAGAACGACGGGTGGAGGCCTCAGGATAACAGCAAGGGTGGTTACGGAGCGTGAAGGTTACTGTGCAAGTAGATTGTATTCGTGATTATAAGCGACTCTAAGCGCGCGAAGAATACCGGCGAAGCTGGAAGAAGAAAATTGCAACGAGGTGGTCCAGAGTTGGATGTGCTCACACCATCGGGTTGTGGCACGGGGGAGCAAATATGGACGCAGCCGCTGTTGCTCTTACAACGCTGTTTGCTCTTGTTAGAAAGTAGGCTGGCTTGATCAACGCCAACAGAAGGTGATGCTACTTTTGCAACAGGCAGAATGACTACGTCTGTCACTGACTGCAGTTGTAAAAACATTTGTCAGTATCGTAAGGCACGTAATCCTGGGCTGGACAGTGGTGCAGTGACCGCATAGGGATGGTCTATCTGACCGAGCAACAGTATCTGGCGTCATTCGAGCACGCGCGCATCGCGGCATACTTTCCTGGGTGTGGACACTGCGATGGCCACGATTTACAGGATCGCGATTCTTCTCAAATCAGAGATCAATGTGTAATAAATTTTGATGTATCGATGTGGCGAGATAGGAACATATAATACCATCGGCTTGACGTCATTGTTTTGATAGTCTAGGAAAGATATGGTCTGTAACAGGCATAAGTTGCCGCATCGCAGCGCCAGGCTTGGAGAGAGTCTTGGAAGTGAGGATCTTCGGCGATTAGTGGAGCCTTTCCTCTGCCCCCATTCAAATCCTATGGAGCACGCCTACAACTGTCAAATAATTGTCCATCGCTCAGTGTTCAAAGAAAGAACTGCTTCCGTAAAGAACTCCCAGAACGCTTGTCCAGAGTCAACCCTGCGTTGCGCAGTTCGCAACGGCACGTTGAGAGATCCTCAACGCACGCTGTATGGGCGGAGACGCAGACGGCTCGAGCATGCGAGTGTGAATGTTCGCGCGAGAGAACGTGTCTAATCGGGCGAAAACTGCCGTTGACGAACTGCGCAACGCAGGGTTGACTCTGCTGGGGCAGGTCTGGTAGCACGTTAGCAAGGCATGCTTTGCAGTTCATAGTGTACATACGCTCCATCAAGAACCACCTCCTCTCTTTTGAAAGCTCACCAGGAGTTGGTGCAGCTTGACCCATCAACCGTCAATCACTGTTTTCAAGAAAAGTGTTTCTCAACCGTCTATTCTCTCAGGGCGCTCTGACTGCAACAGTATTGCAAAATGCCATCGACCCAAGGTCAGCTAGCATACATTATACGAAGTTATACGACTTACATCCTTATGTTTCGCACGCCAGTGTATTATGTTAAGCACTCGTGGACTAGTGCTATGCCAGAAGGCACCCATTTTTACGAGTACTTTTATCAACTGCGTTGAACACCGTTACCAATTCGCGCTGACACAAGCCCTTAGAAAAGAGAAAACTCCAGTATCATAAAAGCACCACATTAAACGTACTGGGTTTCTGTTCTTCGTGGCCGAACAGAATGGCTAAATACTACACTTAAACAAATGAATTATTGGACTAAATCAAGGCGAAATAGCAGGAAATACAAAACGCACTGAATCGTGTCGTAATTATCTCAGCCAAATTAGGAAGACCTCTTGAAAATTGACACCTACCATAAGGTATAAGCAACCTACGCATCAAAAGGCAGCAAATCTGACGCCACTCACGCACACTCGAGTCACAAAAAAAACCAGTCGATACCGTGGAACGCTGAAGAATTCCATTTCAATCTGAGATCGTTCCAGTTCTGGAATGACTTTATTTTGCCTGCTTTCTGATATACTGCAAAGAACAGTGGTACTTAACACGTTGACGACTTCGCGCGTTTTGTGTTTGTGCACCGCGTCTGTAAGCAAAGCGATTTCGAGCACCGCAGCCGCACACAATCCATGGATTTTGAGCTGTAAATAAGCAATACTTAGATACGAAAAAGTATTTTCAATAATGTTCAATCAGTCTAACTTATCAGGAGTTACAGTAATGAGAATTCGAACGAAATGACGTGCTGAGGTGAAAGGCAAATTTCACCTGCTTTCCCTCTAGTGGCCGAAACAATTAATCTTAACGTTTTGTGGGAGTAAAAACAATATCTTCCCATACAAATAGGTTTGTATCGCTTCCTGATATTCCTTTTTATCAACATGTTTACGTTATTGAAAAGAAAACGAGGAATGAACTGAACAGACATATCCGTAAAGTCTGGAAAACCTCTGCCAAACTAAAGAATATTTGGCCTTTCTGTGAGCCATGTGGTTTTTAAGTATGCTAATGTATGGCCTATAGAATGAGTACAAGAGTTCTTAGGAATAGTCGCGCAAGCGCAAGAAAAAGGATGACTTGGGTGGGACGCGTTACCCGCGTCACAGTGTCCCACGAGGTGTGCAAAGTGGGACGAGTAACCGCGTCACGCCGTTGTCAACGTGTTAAGACACACGGTCGGGTAAAGAGCACTGGTGTTATTCTCGCACACGAAATGGAAGCAAGTGGACCCTGAACTGGCGTTGGCGGAAAAGAGCAAAAAGGAGAAGAAGGTTCACGTTGAACAGCTAATTTTAACACCCTAATGGGGTGCTTAGGGCAAAATGTGTGGCGGCAAGTGGCCCACTCTTACACCAGAGCGGTTCGGGATCAGATCCTGTGTTGTTGCAGTTGCCTGCGCAACCAAGCCTTCCATCCCTCCGGGGTCGGTTATTGGGGTACCAGACTTGTCTGGGAAATAAAAACACTGACTTGAACATCGGCTGGCCCCCGCAAGTCATTGTATAGGCCACATCGCATTCAAACGCCACTACGAATGTACAAATGGAAGTAGAATGCGTGCCGCATCCCAAAAAGGGATTGATCAACGGCAAATGCTTTATCCTTTATCCTTTAGCCTGGAAGTGACCTGAAAAGTGGATGAGGCGAAAGAGCATAGCGAATGGGAGCTCTTCAGACACCAGATGCCGTGAACGAGTGACGTTAAAGCGGTTGGCACGTCTTAGAAGGTCCCAAAGCCGTTCTCGCGCATTTTGGGACCGCTGGAACGGTACATTGACTACCTTAGTGAGAAGCTCTATCATACCCACTCAAAAGATTCATTCGTTCAAACATCCTAGTTTGTACCTCCAAGTCAATGTAATGAGCGAAAGGAAATCTCACCAAATCGTATTCGAGAATCACAGCGATGGTTTGTTCAGGCTCATTCTGTAAAAAATATCACTTATTATCAGAACAGCATGTTATGGCTGTCGCTTGTCGAGCTTTTAATTAAATTTTGAACTTACAATTGCCAATAGTTTTATGTAGCGTAGAGATATTTTCACGGTCATTGGATTGGCTAGCGAGAGATTGCCGCGTGCTGAACGCAACTACATAAAATTGTTGTATAAAGAACCTATTTTTGAAAAACAAGTCAAGACGCCTATTCACCTCGTTACCTCGGACCGTATTAACTGTTGAAGGATTGATACTTATTTTTTGGACAAATCGCCAGTGGAAGTTGCTTTGATTTTAACTAACTCCTCAAATCTTACTGGGCACTCAAGTTATTGCTATAAAATCTATGAGTGAATAGGAAAGTATACTACATTATGCCGTCCATAGAGGGGGAGGCAAATAGAGAGTCACTAAGCCCATATCTCACACAGGGTGCAACGTTGATGAAATTTTGTGGCAAAATATTCCACAGATGTCCCTCTATAGCAGAGGTAGACCCTCTTTCACTGTCTTCACCGTCCTCCGATCATGATCTGCCGTCGCCTTCGAGCTCAAAGTAGGCCTACTGTAATCGCTCCATTCTGAATAAAAGGAAGAAATAAAGCGTAATCAGTCCCTGTGTGGCGGCTGCGGCACGCAATTCTACATTCCCATTGTGTATCGAGACATTCGTCAGTAAGCGTTGAATGCAATGTGGCCTATACAATGACTTGCGGGGGCCAGCCGATGTTCAAGTCAGAGTGTTTTTTATCCTCCCAGACAAGTCTGGTACCAATTAACCGACCCCGGAGGGATGGAAGGCTTGGTTGGCCGGGCGACTCACGACCCAGGACTTGCAGATCAGAACTTGCCACTACACCACTTCCGCCCTCCATTCTGAAGCTGGTGCATAATTTTTTCAACCGGTTCACCAGTTGATTTTTTTTCTAAAGACTAGCTTGATGCAAAAACCCTCCCTAACCAGCTTTTCAGATGTCTTTTCAATGTGGTCTATTGTTCGTTGGGGACACTCGTTGGCCTGCCCCCGGTACGTTATTCGACTCGAAAGCGTCCGAACGAGGGACAAGGATCTCGTCAGGGACCTTTTCGGTCTTCCGGATGGTGAGTGCGGCCTTATTACCGGCTACAGTGTTAGGACCTCAATGGCTGCCATCTCAGTTCCTTTTTCTGAACTATTCCATAATCTCAGGGTTATTTTCACTGTTACGTTTTAGCCCATTTTTCTCTCCTCGACGGCCCATTTGGAGGAAAAAAGTGGCCCTGGGCGCAGTTCTGGCGAGGGCTGTGTGCGGGTACGCTAGAATGATAAATACCTATGAGAGTGGAATAATGGTGGTCGAGGGGATCGAAACAGGCGTCTACCCAAGTCAAAACGGTCCGGGCGGGGGGGTAAACAATATTTGACTATAAAGTTCTGATGAAAAAGTTAACAATCGGTAGGAGCTGACCCTGCCGCAGCAAGTATGGACAAGCTTGGTTGGGTGCGAGTAAGGCGACCCCATCCACTTAACCTAACTCGAAAAAAAATCAGCTAAATTCTGGAATTTCCACTTTTTGGTTCCTGCATCGATTTCCAGTTTTCCCTGATTCACTAAATGAAACTGTAGCGTACCTCGAGCATATATGGGTGGGAGGTCTTTTCTATAGTCCGATAGTAATTTCGAAACCAGCTCTTCTTGCCTGTCTTTGAAGTCCTCAAAATGATTCTGAAATGTGCCTGATTACTTCTAGACCCTTCAAGCGCCATAGTGATAGCATTACTCAAATAAAATAAAAAAGTAATCATGGGATCAGGTTTGTGCACACAGCAGAAAGTGAGGACCATCCGATTTTTCATAGGCCATTATCTTTTTTCGTGAGTTTTGTAGACTACCTTCCACCATGATCACTGACAAATACTTAGTTATACCTATGTGAAAATCAAGATACTATAAATCATGAGTAAAGGAATGGCGCAGCTTGAATATTCCCTGAAGAACAGGACTATTGATGAATATTCGGTTGATGTAGACCTAAAAGAACGGAATTCTGAAATTTTCACAGAATCTCACCATTCTGAAAGGTTTCCGAGTTGGAAATGGAGACTGCCGACAAAATCAGAAGAAGTTGATACATCACGATTATTCCACGAGAGTAGGACGGTAGCGCACGTGTTTGACTTTTTGAACCCATGTTGGCCTCGAATGTTTACCCAGTAATCATGAATCGCAACTACGAATGTTCGCCCGCGTAAAAGGCTTTCATTTGGTAATTTGGAAATGCAAACTTCCAGGAGAATGCGAGTTAACATATCGCATTACATTCTGTTACAGAAAGGTGGACGCTTTTATTCTTTGGCCTCTTTTCGAGCATTTCGCCTCCTTCGAAGACCTGAAGCGACTTAGGGCGTATGATTTGCAGGTCATACGACCGTACTTCTGGGTCCAACAGCTCTCGATAGAATTTCATCCTGTCCTTTTTGTGATGTACTATCGTTGATCTCAGCAAATGGTGCTGCTGCTGAGACTACACTCTTGCGAGATTATCCATTAACGAAGTGTAGTCACACATTCTCCATTTTTACAGCCTAATTCGCGCTTTTGTCGAAGGGAAGCAAATATTTTTACTCGAACTCTACAATTCCACGACTAGCATAAACTTCCGAGATCTACAGTGGAGTTGTTTCTGAAGTGACCATGCGATTATCATCGGCTTTCTAGAATATTTTTTATATCTATCCCATATTTATTTTGAAGTCCCCTTTTGAAAGAGGATTCCACGATAAGGTCGAAGAAGTGGAAATTCACATAGCGGAAAGACTGGCGGGCCCCTGAGGGTGCTTGCCGACACGCGATATATGCATAGCCATCCCCGCGGCGCATAGACACGGTACACCCTACTCCTCATTAAAGGAATCGGAATCTTCCTCGGACCAGTGGCTCTAGCAGGCAGAGCAGATGTAAAGTTGGGACGGCAGCACCATGAGAGCTCGCGACAACAATGTTGAGCAATCAGCAGAAGGCAGAAAGGGGGTTCTAACTTTACGGTTCCCTTGCGGCTAGGTCCTAGCACGCTTTCTGTGAACAATGTGGCGCTAACCTTTGCCAGCTTCGCGTGCCCAGCACTTATAGCCGTAAACGAGCTTTTGTAGTGGGTCCTGAGCCCCGAACTTGCTTTAACTTGTGTTTGTAAAGGTGTAACATCTAATGACATTCTAGCTCACAAAGCGCTGTTCATTCATTTCGTGTTCAGAGTCTAAGCGAGATTGGAATGCTAAAGGAACATTCACTATCATCATAAGGGAAAGTCACCAGTATGCACCCTTACGACTTGTAGAGACGCAGAAACCCATAGAGTTCTGCTAATTTTATCTGTCATCTCTTTTACGGAGGTATTTCCTTGTGTCCGATCTGACGGTATAGTAATCTCAGTCTCAGCTGCTCGTTTACAATGTGACCATAGCTCGCTGGGTAACCTGGTGATGGCTTCCATCCGAAGTTTCCTAAACGCGCGTAGAGGACCTGTGTGAACCCCTCCAAAGATTCCCTGTCAGAACAGTCGAATGTAGTCCGAACTCTCTCGTAAGTTAAGTGATCACATCAATTGGTAATAAGAGAATTGGCTGTGCGGCCATTCTGAGACTAACTACGATGGCGGCAGAGAAGCTAGAAATAGTGCGCGAGTGGTGCAATAGTGTAGCGCCTGCAGTCTACGTTGACGTTGGATCGGACAGGGGATCAATACCGCGGAGATTCCAAAACCTTGCAACCTCAGTAGGCTGATCCATTTGCTCGACACATCTTCCAATGTTGAGCAATAGGGCAGTGGTAACGATTCCACTCATGGGAGCTTGCATCGAAGGCTCAAGCCCACGTAAAGTGGAGTTTTGCAGGCAATATGCGGATGCTCACCATTTAGACCATGCGACCATGGCGAATTGTCAATCGTTCAGTGGGAACGTGCCACGCTGCCTCTGGCAAGGTTGCTGGATCAACACCGCGTGAAGTCTAAGAGTACCAACAACTTCAGTTGCTCGAGGCAACAATCCAAGAACGAATTCGCGGGTAAAAACCACCTATAATGACGTTGCAGGTGAGAAGTTGGTCAATAATGAAAGAAAAAGTAGAAAAAAACGTCGGGCAGGGGCTTAGACAGGGACTCCCCCTGCCGTTTATGGGGGAGACGTGTGTTGGACGAGTTGTCCGAACCTGCCCGCAGTAAATGCGCTCACATGAGATCGCAGCTTAAGCAAATTCGAATACAAAGAACACTAATAAAAGCTTGAAATTGAAATGCTTCCTAATTTGAGAGGAATCTATGAGAAGTTAAAGTCAAAAGAGAAGCAAGTTCAACCTGACTCACTTTCGCGCACTCATGTGGAAGTCTTTCATATCTGATGTCAACGTCTGTGTTGAAGGACACTGACGAAACAGACATAAACCTCAAATATGACGAGTTCGAAAGAAAACTTATTTCGCTTGAGACTTAGGAGAGACTTAGGAAAAAAGTGAAAAGTCCAGCATAATCGACATCGATTATTAAAGGATCGGCATCGAATAGTCGCGGTGGTCCCGCAACGACAGCTAGTCAATTGCGCCCTCTTCACAACTGCAAGAGGGCGGCTCCACCGAGGCTCGGTGGACCCGCCGTGGAGATTCGAGCCCTTCCAACGCATTTCGAGGTAAGTTTCTGAATTCCGTGACAGTTCCTATGAACTTTGCTTGGGCTGGGGCATGTTTCCACCACCTAAGACCGAATGGTTGAAACCCTGATTGGACTGTTGCTTTAACTGTCGTCAATCTCTTCCAAAGCCGGGATCGAGTGATCGAGCTCTTGGTGCAGTGGCAAAAGCCCGGCTAAGAATGCTGTCACCCCTCAATTACGAGAGGAGCGCAAGCTTGGCAGGTAGCGTGATGAGGCCGGCCCTACCAAGTAAGGTCATGTCCATGTATCCACGCTCCTTATTCCTCATCAATGGGGAAAATCGTAGATTAAAGGTCACGTCCATGTATCCACGCTCCTTATTCTTCATCAATGGGGAAAATCCCCACCATGTGATTGCTATAGGTTACTTTATTACCGTCCCATATATGAGTGTGTCGTTTGCAACGCATGATGAGCGTTTGTAGAAAAATTTCACTCTGAGCGAAGACCCTCAGAAAAGCTATAATTGAGGTCTTAGGAAACCAGAGAAAAAGAGCAAAATGCAGGCAATAAAAACGAATACATTGATCAATACTTTATTTCTTTTGAACACATATAGGTGACGGTGAAAGAGTTACTGAACAAGTTCTAAGAAAACGGCCTATATGCCGTTTCTGTAAACATCTATCAGCTCAGAAATAATACTAATAAATTACTCAAAGTCAATATAGGGAAAACAATGAGAGAGATCCTCCGAAAACTTCCAATGAACCACATTCCCTTGGAAGGCATATACCTGAAGCAATTGTATTGTGTATGAGTATTTTGCAGATACACAAAAAACCCAGGTTCCAGGCTAGTTATTGCCATTTGCAAACCAACATTTTCAATAATTCAGCGAGTTTCGTTGCAGAAGAGAATCCACAAGACTTCGATCCCATTACCACAATGGTAATGGCAGCAGTTATCAGAAGTAGATTCACCATTATGAAGAGGGCTGGAATTAGATGGAAACCAAGTCTTATATTCAGCTAGCGTGATAGCTCAGCAAGGTGCTTTATTCAACGCATAGCCCACATCTACGCTCTGGTGCATACCATAGCGTGAATGAGAGAAAGCACCCCCATGCAGGGTGAAAATCGTGTCGAGGACGTGGTCGCAGCAGTACCACCCCCTCAGATCGGGGTCTTGATACGACCCCTCTAACTTTGATTTGATGTGAATAAGCGAGTTCCATCAATGTACAGCAAAGTATCAGTTGCAGCGCGGTTTATCCTTGGGTCAGATTTGCTTAAACCCCGCTTCAAAACATGGAAATCTATACCCTCTGAAGGTGCCATTCCCCATTTCTTCATCTTTTGTATACTGTGTGATAGAGTTAGATAGAGCTGGATTTTTCCCTACCAACCAGTATTGAAATTGCTCTGAAAGCCTTCCACTCAGAAAGATAGGGTCTCTCAAATTTCGTCGAGTCTGCGTCGAGGACGCTGAAATTTTTATGAGCTTTTGCCACTTTGAAGGGAACATCTTTTATTCTTATGAGCACATGGAAAAAGTAAAACAGATATAGAAATGGAAGGTTTGCGCTTTCCAGGAGTCTGCCAAGCTTTTTTCCAAATCTCACAGTTGAGGAGATATTTGCGTTGAGGTTCTACCGAGAACGACTTTCACCCTTCTTCGCCAATGCAGGTTCTATCGCTGGCATTTCTCGGAACTTGCCGAAATACATTATCCAACATAAGCGATGATAGCAGAAGCAATCGTCATCGTCCGACTTGGTCTCGGAATATGCCATGCATGCGAGGTACATATTAAGGGCAAGCGGGCGGCAGATAGAGGAGGTGCCTTCGCAGCTCGTGTGCACAGGTAGCCCCCTTCCTTGAGATGAGCCTCATCCTTCACTCAGCTTTCAACATTTACTCCTCATAATGGTAGAGTAATGAAGTGATTGGACCTGCAAAGAACATTATATTATGTTTTCTCACATATCCTGCTTTCTGCTGCGGCTATACCCTGAAGATTCTATACACCAATAATAATATAATGCACTGATGTGCTCGTCACAGTCCCCCCCCCCATAAATACGACCCCACGACCCATCCTGTCAAATACGACCCTCTTGTCGAGAACTTGTTCGACCAGTATTTACCCTGCTTCCATGTGCAAAGGTTGCGCCATATTCTCTACCAAAGGGATGGGGATTGTGGGAGCAGCGCGAGAGGTTAGCAACATAGAATAAGAGTACGCTATGCGTTAAAATGTCGTGATTTCACCGCATGATCTCAAGCAAAGCATGCTCCAAAGCCATGCGCGGTAGAAGGAAGCGACACGAAAGTGTCTTGACTGAGCGGCAACTGTGGCACATCCTAGCTTTCCAGCGCCTCCGAATCGCGCGTCAACTATGCACAATTTCGCATGCAATCATGACGAGCATTACAATATCATCAGTCACCCCATCGGTCGCTAGGACTATTCGCTATTCACTGCTTACCATCATAATTCGCATATTATTCGATTAATCTCCTTCGATTTCAGTTTTCAGCTTAGAAATACATATTAAATTTTTTTTCTTTGTCATTTCAATTCAACGTCAGGGTTCCCCATTTCATTCCCCATAAACGCTTCGTTCTATCATGAGTAGATATGGGAGCTGCCCTCTTCGCAGGTGTGTGCAGTATTTAGAAGTACTTGGTTTCAGTGGTTATCTTATCTATATGCTTTATTCGCAGTTAATTGGGATTTAAATAGCAGTTTGTTCGTTCTTTTGTGATTAACCCATTAGCGTTGCTCTATGAAGGTGTATGTGTAGTTTTTTTCCTGCTGCTTCGTTCATTGACAAAAACAACTTACAAAGTGCGGGAAGCTGTGTTGTTTTCGGTACTGATTGTTCGGCAATTTCCAAGACTGTGCACATAGCGAGAATGGCAGCAAAGCCAAGAGCAAGCTAAAACCAGGCACCTGTTGAAGGAAACGTGCGAAATAAGCAACCTTGAGATCTCTTGCTTTGCAAAAGAATGAATAAAGCTGACCTTCTCGAGGTAGTCTGTTTTGTCGAACTTTGTCCAGAAAAGCCCAAGCACACAAAGAAAAGTTAGGATGAAAGATGGCAGAACTATCATGACAATATAGAATGTTGAACTTCGTTTGACGCGAATGATGTAGTATACCTGCAATGTAAGTAATCGCGAATCCAACGTATTTTAGGTAGTCTAAACCCATTTCTGAGGGGAACACAAATCTTGATTGTGTCGGGCATAATCACAGGCAGTCTAGCGATAAAGAAGTTTGCGAAAGTAATATGCTTACAGCACTAGCCAGGAATAATTAAGCGAAGCATGGCACGCGGCGAACAGTGAGTTAGTCGCAAAGCGATAAGGCTTCGAACCTCTTCCTCTTCTATTCTTTAGCGTTTGTCCCGCTTATTGGCGAGGTTCGCTTTTCTAATATTCTGACTCCACACTTCCCGATTAAATGCGTTTCCGTAGGCTTTCCGGGCACGTCGAGGTTGAGACTGATCTTACGGACACTGTCATCATTCGCGCGAAGAACATGACCGTACCATCGAAGACGGGCTTCGCGCATCTTGTCAACAATTGGAGCCTACACCGAATCGCTCTCTGATGACATCGTTTACGAATGTGGTCTAATCGTGTGACTCCGGCTGTCCAGCGCAGCATCTTTGTCTCCATCACACTGAGACGGGCTTCAACTTCTTTAGTCGCAGGCCAGCACTCAGCACCGTAAATCGCGACTGGCCGGATGACGGTTCTATAGATCTTAGATTTGAGACGTTCTGGTATGTTCTTATCGCAGAGAACGCCAGTCATCGAGCGCCATTTCGACCAGGCTGCACTCACGCGAGAATTCGTTTCAGAGACCAGGCTGCCGTCAGACGCGATTGCTGATCCAAGATACTTGAATGTTGTTGTTGTACGTGTGAGCTCAGTACCATTGATCTTAATAGAGCCTGGCTCACTCGAATCGGTGGTCAAGTACTCAGTCTTTTTGACGTTCAGCTTGAGCCCGAATATAGATCGGACCAGGCTTGCACCTGTTGCTCGAGCGTGCTTTTATCTTCGCTAGCGAGCATCACGTCATCAGCATAAAGAAGCGTCCATGGAGCCGGCTTCTGGAGATCTCGTAATGGCATCCATGACGACAACAAATAGGAGTGGGGATAACGCAGAGCCTTGGTGTACCCCGACAGAGATGGGAAAATCCATCGATGTCCTGCTGCCGTTTGCACTCGGCTCTTTGGACTCGAGTAAAGGATGCGCACCCACTCAATAAGCTCTTCGGGAACGCCATGCTGTCGTAAGGCATACCATATAACGTCACGTGGAACGCGATCGAAAGCCTTCTCCAAGTCTAGGAAGGCAAGATGCACCGGCTTTTGTTTTTCGCGATGCTTTTCTAGCAGAAGGCGAGCGGCGTGTATGGCATCGATGGTGCTGCAGCCAGCCACGAAACCACACTATTAGTGGTCTGCTCGACGTCTACGATTCGCTCAAGATTCTCACGGTGTGCGAGAGGTAACGAATTGGACGGTAACCAACGCAGTCTCGTAGAACTGTCCTTCTTTTTCTAGATCGGGGTCGTCGTGCGTTGTTGCCAGCTCTCAGGCACCTTCTTCTCTGCTATGAGCTTTTTATAAAACTCCGTTAACCACTCCGCGGTATTCCAGCAAATTGATTTCCACAGGTCGGTCGCTAGGTCGTCGGGACGCGTCGCCTTGCCTTTCATCTTCTTCATAGCCGCTATGGTCTTCTTCACGCTTATTTTCCTAACGGGAATAGTATTGGCGGAGCACGGGATAGCAGATGGGCAAATTCTTTCCTAGAAATGCTTTCGACTTGCGTGCCAAGCTTTTAAGCGCTTTCTTGGCAATCCGTAGAGATGGCCAGCCTCGTACTTTATGCCTGGGAGCATTTCTATACCTGCGGTCCGGTGATGGTGGGTCTTCGCGAGTAGGTGAATGTACCGCTCACTGCGAGTCGACTTTATCTTTGACATCAGCAAAGTGATCCGCCTTCGCGGAAAGGCAACGGCCATCTCTTTCTTCCTCTTCTCTACGGCTATGCCAATTTAGGTTGTCTTTCACGAAAGAAACTGCATGGTAGCGCTTTTTCTTCTCTCACACTTTCTCTCTGACGTAGTCTGTCCACAGCCATGTTTGCGTGTCAATTTTCTGCAGTCCGGGCGTCGTTATGCCGAGCCCGGAGCGTCGAACCTGTGTTATCGCTTTGGAAGCACCTTTCCAAGTTTCGTCGAAGTCGCCGGTGATTGAATGCGAGAAGACGACAGCCGCTTCTTTCAGTCGCCACCACTTGATTCTCGCTGGCCCACACCTTTCGGTTAGTTTCGGTTTCGGCGGGGCGATCTTAGCGTACAAATTAGTGGTCGGTGTTGCGTGGCGACCGTTTCATAAGGCACTGTTTTCGCGTCTGTTACGAGCCCTTGGTCGCGGCGCCTGACAAGTACGAAATCAATTTGTGTTCTGAAACTTGTGCTAGAAGTGATGAGATGTGAGTCACGTTTTCGAAATTTTGTATTTACAATGGCGAGATTATTAATTCAAGACCCGCGCTCCAATATTTAGCGCTGCAACGCGGGTCTTCGATACGTTGCGGAGCTTTTGGACCAACCTAATTTCCCCCCCCCCATGCCGTCCTTGCACCAGGAGACCCTCGCATACATTTTACACTCGCCGAGCTCTTCTGGTCGAATCCCACGGAAAACGTAGCGTTATCATGGGATTCATAAAGCTACATCGACTTTTGTGGTGTGACGTGGGTATTCGTAGGCTGCAGTCGCCTGCGTTCGAATGTTCGCGGTCAGCCCAGAAAAGTAGGCAGTTCCTAATAGCACTCCTCAGGGGAACGAACACCACCACCAACAAGGCTTCAGGCTCAAAAACCATAAATGCCTAAAACGCTCCGCCCGTGACTATTTTCCAGTGGCAGCATCGTTTGCTTTGATGCTGAAGAAGCTTTCCAATTCAACATCGCATCTTCACCTATCTCCGTGCCCATCAAAGCGTGATGTGTGTTGGGATAATGTTGGTTTTGAAGTTAACAATCCCAGCCTCCCTCATTCTTGGTTGCTGGCTCGTCCGTAGTCTGGAATCAACGCTCAAAAAAGGAATGGGAGTAGGGAAAGAGACATCCCCAAACATCCTAGTTTTCTTCAGTCAACTGTGTGTTGCAAACGCTATCTAGTCTATCACTTATTCAGAATTTTTTCGCACATTCTTCCTTATATGTATTAGCAATATCTTCACACGGTAGCATACAAAACTTCAGCCACTACGAGTGGTTCCTACTTACCAGAGTAAAGGAAAGAGCACTCGACGGTGGTCTATTGTTTACTAGGATGGACCACGCATTGCACTTCTATTTCTATTCATATCGTAAGGGCATTTGGATTCAAATGTGTTGCGTGGTCCTGGCGCTTTTCTTTTCTTTCATTCAGCAGTGACATGATAGACGATATGTGTTTTACAGTGGAAATAAGGCGCTGAACGGCGCCTTCCCTCCACTGTGAAATAAACCTTACCTTATATGGATGGGGCAGTGCAGTGCGATGTACGCGCACATAAGAGAATGTAACCCTGCCTGCGAGGCAAGCGTGGTCTCATACTTTGAATGGAAATCGTGCAAGCGCATTCAGGTATCTCACCGTTCCATAGGTCTCTGATGTTTCTTCGACCAATAGTTCTGGGCTGCCTGTGACAATTTCGACGACAGTCCATTCACCCGTGCCCTGAAACTGCTCATTTTCTATTCATGAAAATACCTCCTTGCTGAAACTTTGCCATAGATTGCCCCGTTTATTGGATGATCATTTTTCAGGGAAACAAAAAGTTCAAGTCATGGTGCTTCATATAAGTCTCAGTCAATTTATGAGGCCTGTTAAAGGGCAAGAAAAACGTAATGCGCGGTATGCGGTATCGCGAATTCAATCTAAAAAATGAGCTACCGCTGTTGTAGCGTTGATGTACGGTTTCACTGCAGACACAAGGCGGAGTTCGGCTATCCAAAAGGTGTACGACGAGAAGCCCACCTCGCAAACTTGATGGTCAAATGGGAATCTTTGAATCTGAAAAAAATTTCATTGCCACGAAGAGATTCTTCAGAAAAGATCAAAGATCGAGCCCAAAAAGTTACGAGAAGCTCTGTTATTGCTTTGACTAGCATAGCCCCAGTAGGCGCACGGGTTCCTCTCTTTTGTGTATGTTGCATCTTTCGCTGTGGTCCTTCTCCACCACCTTTCCCCACCGGGATTTTACTAGATTGATCTTTTCATAGCGGTCATTCAATGTGTCGCAGTCCGCTTGCAGTTGGCTTTGCTACGAGAGGCTCTGTTATTGGTATATTATTATAATGTTTACTAACAAAGCTCTTGACGGGTATTCTTCAGAAGGATACACCGACAAATAGATCAATAGGCCAACAAACAAAGAAAGTGATTTGCAAAGAACCTCGAATAGAAGGATAACACATAGTATTGGCACACAATATCTGCCCGTAAGTGTCTGGCACAAGTTTTTGCGTGTGAAGCAGTAGCAGTGAGGTGTGAATTCCAAAGGAGGAACGCATATCAAGAAACCTCACGCGCAAACGAATCCTTTTCGATTTTTCCAAGTTTCACTCACTTATGTTGTTTATTTTGCGAAATACAGCTTTTTTAATTTTTGTGCTGACTTCTATCGCAACACAAATTCTTATTTTGGAACGATGAGGTTGTCTCCTCCTCCTATATGATATTGATGAACGCAGTATACTGTGCACTTGAGGAGACCGTCTACGGAGAAAACTCCTTTCCTCACACATAGGCATTACTTGCGATAAGCACAGGCTGTATACAAACTTCCATGCTGGGTTCACAAAATGAAGTAAGCCTCTGAAAATCACACTTCGAGATCCAGATGGACCAATGGCGGAGCGAAAGGGGCGCATGGAGCAATGAGTGTGGTGAGGCTGGAGGACCCATTTGCGACTAGGATGAAGAAAAACTAGGATAAAATAGAAGAGTGAAATGAAGTTGTCATAGAGAAGGCCGAAACTTCTCCATTGACGCCGTTCCTAAGACCGAAGTGGAGCTTCGCCGCCACCAACATTTCTGACAGTTGTTACGGTGGAATTTCAACGAGTAATACTTGGGATGGCAGAAAATTTGCGCTGATCTCAATTTCAGAGTTTTCGATTATTGGTCGGTACCCATGACTTGCCACGTGGCAGATCGTTGGATGTCGATAATACTTCAACGCAATAGGTATAGATAGCCGAGTTGCTTTCTTTGTAGCAACAATTCCACATCGAATTCGCGTGGTAAAGAAGATCGATAACAAATCGCGGATGGCGGGTTGACTGCTATTGAAGAAAAAAGCAAAAAAACACCGATGGAGGCTCTAAACAGGTACTCACCTTCTTCCCTTTAGAATAAAGGAAGAAGCACCTTATGAAGCAAGAGCACCTAAAAAAGCACCGCAATTGTCTCAATTTGTCGAACCAATCGCAATTTTGATCAGATGAGTGCTTGATTGTAGCCGTCCAAGATTAGTTAACTTTATTAGGCCAACGTTTCGGCAACTTCGCCTTCGTCAGAGCCTTAATGAACGCCGCCGTGACGCGAGGGCGACTACCCTCGAAGGACTAGGTTGAGCTTATCTTTATTCCACCTAGGAATACTAACACCTTAACTAATTGTGCTTAGTTCAGTAAGTAATATAAACTTGAATTACTATGGTGTTCTGTCAGTGTAGCAATGTGATTTCACACACATGTCTCTAATGTGCTGGTAGTAGGATGTGAGCCAGACGATGCCAGCGCTCGAAGTGACTAAGGCCAGGAAGTGCGCAGTGGCTAGGGATAGTTCAGCGGTCCCTTGGGAGTTGGGAGGCAGCGTGGCGTAGACGGCCAAGTAGGGGGAGGGAAGAACCAACTTAGGAGCTGCCTCAAAGCTAGCGATAGCACTCCTCGACCGCTACTCCTGGTGCAGGACGCCTCCGATCCGCAACAGATGGGATACTGCAGTGAGTAAGAATGGTGATTATATTGTTGAGTAGATTCCATTGTATGCGGAATAAAAAAGCAAAGTAAAAAAAGTTTCAAACTTCTCAGGACTTGATACCATCCTAATACTTGTTTCAATCTTAGGATGTTAACCATTGCAAGGGCCATTTTTCGTTTTGCTCTTACCGTGGAGAATGGCTCTTGAGCAAAGGATTCGGTAGACTTGTATTCAAGGGGTTGAAAGTCCAGTCTATAGTACTGTGTCTCACCTTCAAAGGGCATAATACTGTCACCACACGCGAAGCATAATATAGCATATCGCCGTTGCTCTTCACCTGAATCAAGATATTGAAAGTGGAAAGTCGAAAATGGAGCTCCTTAGCACGCGCACGGGGCGGGACTCAAATTCAAGATCGGTCGTCCGCACCAACAGCACTCGGTAAATTGGTAAAAGACATTCCAAGGGGATGAAACCTCGACTGTTACACCGACTGATTTCCGCTTGTCATTGTACAGACTGATTCGAATTCAAAGTGACTTTACGATGCTGAATAGAAGTAGGTTGAGTGGTGCGTCCGACAAATGGATTGGACAACGCCGATGCGTTTATTCTATGTAATGGTGACCCTGTGCTTAAGAAGGTGATGCTACTGGGTTTGGAAACGCGAAGTGGTGTTCTTGCGGCAATCAAAAAGAAAATGTGGCAAGAGCGTTAAGAAGTAGGCTTGGTCGGCGCATGCTTACCGTTGCGGTGTTTGTGCCTCGCAATTCTGCTATGCGCTCGTCTCTACCCGCGTCTCTACTTTCACCTCGGCACATTGTATCTTCTATTGTTAGAAATTCATCGGCCCATTCACTTATGAGAGGAAGCCATTCCTCCCTTTCATTTGTCCCTCACAACCCCACTTCTTCTGCTAGTGTTCAATCACCGCTATTGTGAAAAAGTGCCCAGTAGAAGCGGGCTGCGCCAGCTCTCCACGAAAATTGACTGTTTGAGGGTTTCAGCGGCCAATTACAAAAAGATCAACGCTATTGGATTGAAACAAACCCAACGCTATTGGATGTGAATCAGAGGTACAGGGGGGCTTGCTGCTGCCTTTTTAGCTAGTTGCAACTTGGACATCACACACAGTTAGTGTGTGTCTTTGATGAATAAGCGGTCTTCGGCTATGACATCCACGACAACTAGCTGTGAGGTAATCTTCCAAAGGAGGATTTCACGATAAGGTGGACGCTCAGAGAAGGGAGACTTACTTACGTGTCGGAAAACAGACGTCACCCCAGAGGTGCGGACCGGCTACACCATTCGCTGATGGATGAAATATACCAAACGAGCCAACCTAGCATAGCCCCCCTCCTGACGCTATCGATACAAGCGCATATACCAACTGCAATCGGGAAAGTTTGTAGCGGTTCAGCCGAGATAACGTGCTGTAAGAAGAGAGCAGCAATCCATAGCAGTCGGCACAATGTCGAAACCCAGGCAAAGGAAAAGGTCAAGTTCTCTCTGGATTTGGGACCGTTTTTCATGCTATCATTCTACGGCAACATTAGACTACTCTCCTTGATTCCAATTGCTTTATCCTATATCTTACACTCCGGCTTCAAAACGAAATAAGTTTGAAAGAAAGTCCTGCAACACTTTTTCAAATTTTTGATTCTAATTTTATTTTTTGGTTACAACTCCTGACCGGTCTTATATATCTACCATTAGTGTCCGCCACTTGTCTCCAACGCTCAGAAAATTCCTTGATGCTCCTTCACCAAAACCCAGCGGAGTGCGGTCGAGGAAGGAGGCAACTTCACTTTCAAGTTGGAGTTGATCGTCTAATTACTTCGCATCAAGATGATTTGAGGTCCAGGATGGGGTAGCAGTCATTTGTAGCTCGACCAATGGAAAACGTTAAGAGAGGTAACAAGTCTTGCCGCAACTCCACAATTTCTTACCGGGCTCATATCGGATCATGGCAATTCGCGATGTCGTGGAAGAAATGAATATTGTCACGGTGCGAAGGCTCTTGACGAGCTGCCTCGACCAACTTCTGGAGTTTCGCAGCCTAGACCTCTACACAATGTTGCCCTATAAATACGAAACAATTGAGTGGAGCTGCCGTAGAGCGCTATCGAATGAGTCTACGGCACGCTGAAGGCTAATTATAAAAATAACAAAAGATATAAAGCACTGGTGAAGGTGGAACACGCTGTAGCGGTGAACGCGCATGCCCAAATGAAGCTATTGCAAATAGTGTTCGGTCTTTGACACGAAGCCATAGTTATGGAGACATTGTACTAGACAGTGACTCGGAGAATGGTTAACCATGATCTGATTTTAATCTGATAGACTGCTGGGAAGCACTGCAGCATTTATATCCACCTCCTGGAATTAAAGCCCCAAGAATGCTCTACCATTTCTTAGTTATAAATGTGTGCCTGTGAATTTTTCAGAAAAAAAGAAAATTTTAGAAAGAGTGTTGCAGAACTTTCTTTCCAACCTAATATGACAATCACGGCTCCCACGATTGTGTTAATATCATACGACTTTGTTTCGTCTAGATATCAAAAAACAACCAAGGTTTGAAATTTATGAATATCTGAAAAACTCACATAAACGTGCTGGATATCTACATCCCTTGTATCCGAAATGGACAGCCTAAAATGTAGTTAAAAATGTGTGAACAAGCAAGAAATGATCTAAGAAAGGGAAGTTGCCCACGCACTTCGTGCCGAGTCAAGCGCGTGTTCAGGAATTCTTCTTAAAGGCAAAGGTCGGGCTTAGGCACTCTATAAAGTACGTAATTAAAAAGTAAAAAGTAAAGGTATCCCGTGCCAGTGTATTACGGTACTTCACAATTGAGCAATTCCCTATCTGAAAAACCCCGTTAAGGTGCCCCGGGGCGTTCGGTTTCAATCCAGGACCGCCCACCTCCGGAAGTGGTGCGTGGCTGGCATAACGTGTGAAATCAGCTAGGTTGATTACCGTATCAACCGATAGAACGACTGACATCTCCAGAAAACTTGTTTGTACGTGCCTCTATCGCCGTCCAGCCTACTTTCAACTCTATGGAAAGGAGTTGTTGACGGTACCTTGTTCGACAGTTTTGCTAAGATTTTCGTGTCAAGTGCTGCGAGCGTCGATAGCGCTCAGTTTCAATAGCCATAATACCACCCTTATTGAAGCTCGACTTTTGCTTAATGTGGTATTGTAATGTGATGGAGGGTTTGCGAAAAAGTAGGGTATAAGCAGGTAACACTGAAAATTGTGCGAAAATCCTAAAAGTTCCCACACATGTGATCTCTGATAATACCACAAGGATGGAAGCAATAATAGAAATACCAAAAATGTCAAAAACAGCCTCCATGAGACCGAACACAACGCTATTGCTCCCACATATCTTGGTTCCTAAGTGGCTCAAATACTGAAATTTATATTCCGCGCACGCGCCCTATACAATTGAAAAAACCGTTTCAAAAACGTTCCTAAAGGCTTTCCTGGTAAGGCTCAATGTACGTGCTACAATGGCAGTCATAGTTCTTCATCTGCCATTTTTACAGAGCGCCATAGACTCTACGCGGTCTACTTCGAAACTTCCCAGACGCTACTTGACCCCAACATAGGTCTGGGCGTCCAATCACCAAAGCAAAAAGAATATCCACGTAAATCCGGCGCTGGTTTTCAGGCTGTCAACGACTTTACGACCGTAACTGTTGGACGAGTTCGAGTCGCATTTGGCTGACGGGAGGTCGTGTTTGCAGGATCAACATTGCAGTGGCTGGAACACGAAATGTAATCTAGAGAATAACGCTCTAGGGCCAGGCTGACAGCATGAGGCGACTTGAATCAAGGCGTTTGCTGTCGCATCAGTAAGTGAGGGATATAACTTCTGAGTGCTTCTCCACACTATCACTTCAATTATATGCAACCACAACTTTGTATGCGGGTTATACAGGGGGGGGGGCAAAAAAAAAAGACATTTTGCCTATGTCGGACTTCGGCTCTTTTTTCTTCGCAGAGATTGCTGTCGTTGACGGGAGTTCCTCAGCAGAGTATTCCCTAAGTGTTCCTCTATTAGTGTACGCAGGCTCTCCTTCACTGCCCTCACCGTCTTCAGAATATGACGTCATCTGTCACCGTCGTCAGGCTCAAGGAGGTCTACCGTAAGAGCTTCAGCCTGAAGCTCTTACGCAATTTCGTGAATCGATTTAATGTTGGATAGTTTTCTAGAGGCATTAGCTACCACTGTGCAAATCCCCTCGGAAACTAGCTTTCCAGTAAGGGTCGTTATGGTACACGATCCTTCGAAGACCCCATTGAGATCGACCAGTGCACCATGTTTCCAGGGCTAATTCTTCTGATGCCGTCCACGTACGTGGCCACTATGAAGATTTTCTTATAGAATGGAATGCACTCTTTAATAATAAGTTGGAACCGTTCGGTCTGAGTTGAGTAAAATGTGCTTAAATCCATCTGGAAGTGGAGGCAAAATGTCTTTTTTTTTGCCCCCCCCCTGTATATTATGCTGTGCCTTCGTGCGTTCCGTGTCCGACCGAACATTACCTCTAAACAAAACCGGGAGTTCAAGGCTACCCTCGTGACGTGTTGGCAATCCCAAACCAGCCTGCCGTGACGGTGGAGAGAGGGTAGAAGGGAGAGGGATAAGAGGGTAATGGAGGGTCAGTGAAGGGAGGGAGGTAGGGTAAGGAAGAAAACGTTTCAGATTACGTGTTCGGTCCGGTGTTGAAATCAATTGAAAGGTTAATTGGATAATTTCCTCAACCGGCTTATATAGACACCTACTAATAACCCTTTCATATTTGCAAGTACCAGTGGCAGCTGGAGAGCAGTAGGGGAGGAGGGAAGGATAAGTTGAGGAGAAGGATCGCCAAGCTTCGCAGGGAAGGGAAGAGTACGGCTTGCTATGTGCTTGCGTGCAGAATGGTAGTATTTTTTGTTGTTCTGAAAGCTTAGTCGTGAAAGCTTGCTATCTTTCCTGCGCAAAGCACCATTCAAACTACAGGCCAATTCACTTCAGCTACTTATAAAGGCAGTTCATTTTGCATCTTGTGCTTATCAGTAACTACTGGAGCTCTCTACTTGTGTTTTTTTGCCTTTTTGTAGATCGCACTTATTTTTCATATTGTTGGCCATTTCCGTGGCAGTGTACGGTACATGTGTAAGTAGTAAGTGCGGGGGGTCGTAAAATATTTGAAATATAACGTGACGGTTGACCCTGCTTCAAGCATAGACAACCTACATATCATAAGGCACAACGTCTGGACGCCACACAGCGTCACGATTCACGAAAAACCCGTTGATATCGTGAAACTCGGAGGAGTTCCATGTCAGCCTGGGATCGTTCCAAGTCTAGAATGATTTTTGTGCTGTGAGAAAGGTGAACGGTGCTTAGGTGAAGGTGATAGCTAAAAAGAACAAGCTCACCAAATCATACTCAAGAATCAGCGACATGGTTTGTTCTGGCTCATTCTGTAATGAAATCTATTACTATTTCATTGAAAAGCTGTGTGGGAAGTATAGTTTGCTAAGTTTCCCAGTCCGAATTTAAGCCAAAGACTTACAACTGCCAAGAGTTTTATGTAGGTTAGAGATATTCCCACAAGCATCGGGTTGCCCAGTGAGGGGTTGCTGCGTGCTAAACGACAACTTTTCTGAACAAAATCGGTCGACTGGAAAAAAGAGATTATTTTCCAGCGAAGGGCTATTCTGAAGCCTTATATAATGAATTACTGAGAACATTTCGCGGTTTTCGATATTCAATTTTCTCTTGTTCCCAAACTTTATCACAGATGACAGACGCAGTAACCTATTCTCTGAATTCGTGCTGGAAGCATCGTCTGATAAGCTCTCAGTTTGGAATTTAAGTCGAAAATTTACAACTACCGGCAGTTTTATGTGGCTTATAGATATTTCGAGTGAAACTCCAGTTGGGGGGGGCCACTCATATATCTTATCTACATATCTTATCAAAGTGACTATCTAATCAGAGCGGAGTTGCGGAAAGGCCCTCATATCTTATCAACATTCAGAGCACAGGCTCTGAGTGCGCGATTAGATAGAGATACTACTACGGATAATGTTCCATCTTTCCCGAACGGCCTTATGAACATCGAAAAAAGCGAAGAAAATTTTCTCTGCAGACTGCAGTTCTAACTACTTTAATCTCTTCGGTATCGTCTGAAACGGTGACCTCCAAGCTGTTCTTCACCTGTGCACGCGAACTAACATCAGATGTGGTCAAAACTGGATATTGAGTGCGCATGGGACAAGTGCTGGTGAGGATTGCGAACCTCGTGGGCGCGCGCCCAAGGTGCGAGCTAGCCGCTGACGAGCTGGCTCGTGGATAAGAGGCGTACTGGAGGTCACACGTAGTGATAGTGGACCGGCGAGGCAGGGCGGCCTAGCTGTGCTTACTGTTTCCCAAGAAGTTTTTTACGACTGCCCTTCTTGGCATGAAATGTTTCATACTGACTCGCTCTTGTTCAAAAATTTGACTGTCGGCAGAAAAATTGGGGGGGAGGCAATGCCAAGGTGGGAGAAGGGGCATAGCATACGGTAAACAGCAAAATTCCCCAATTTCCCTACAATGTCCTATGGTGTTGGTTAATGGTACCGCAATATTCAACTGCTGCCATTTTTCTAGGGAAGTATATAACGCGCGCTGAACGTGGCGATGTTCGTGCAGATTTTCCGCGCCGCTGCGCGCTTCTCTCACTCATGCATTATTCGCATCTTACAAACACTAAACAAGTACGGACCGCCATACTACAAACTCGTTCAAATACCAACCCTGGAGACGCGTTGCGTACTTCTTAAGCAACATAGGTTGACACTGACTGGGTAAATCACAAGATGGTGGTATTTTTGCGCTTAAGGCGCGAAGAGTGACTCCTTGCTTCGGTTTGTCCACCGCAAGTGCTACCGAAGTCGCGTAGCGGATTGCAACATTGCTCTGCACTCCTTCGTGGCGACCTCGTCGGTTTTGCCTCTCCTCGGGCAGTCGCTGTGCATCTCCGTCGCACTACGTCATCAAGAAAAATTTTAGTGTTTGTAAAATGCTTTTAGCTTTTTCCAGTGTCGTGACTTCGCAAAAGCAAAAATGCTCCACGGCCATGTGCGGAAAGAAGTCGAAGTGCTTCAAAAAAAATTGGACTAAAGAGTTTGCGATCCTTTCTTTGTCATTTCACCTAAGAATTACTGGCTGGCACTCGAAATTGATGTTCCATAAGGATAGCCATTGCAAAGTCTTGAAAACCTAGTCAGATATCGTGGAACGGCTACTGGCGGTTTTTGAGCCGCAATCTGCAGAATGTGGAGACTGTTGCCTCGAACGAATCATTCTTCGAAATCGCCGTCGCGGTTTTCGTGTTGTTGCGGAGCCTTCTTTCGCAGATCGCTGCTCTCTTCTCTTATTATTTCTTAACGTGTAACCCACCTCGAGCGTATACGGGTGGAAATTCATTTCTATAACCTGATAGATAATTTTGAAATCAAAGCTTCATGTCGCTCGAAGAATTCGTCCATTGTTTCTGAAATGCATCCGATAACCTTTAAAGAACTGTGGCGATGTAGTGTAACAGGGGCTATAAGCAAATGAGGGTGCTTTGTCCGAATTGAGTGCGATTTTTCCCTTTGTGAGGGTGCGCTCCGTGGCCAGCTCCGCAGTTGGAAGTATTTGCACTCGGACCTGAGTAATTAGCATTTAAGCCGAATCAGCCAGGGTCGAACGTTTTTTTTCTTTCCAAAGTGTCAACTTTATTCGAACCTCGACTAACTAATATTTGCTAGTTTGAGGCCTAGCCCGAGATCGAGGCCGGGATTAAGACTTTGCGAATCGCGACGATTCGCTAGCGTGCCGCGGCCGTGCTGTCGTACCACAAAATGAGTGATGCACTGCACGGCCATGGCCGGTGACGCGACCGCAGACGCTAGCGAATCGCTTGATTCGCAGTCTGACATCGGCCTTAGTGTGATCGAGCTGGGATTTGAAGGCGACCTAGGCGCGCGGCAAATGGATGAATGTAGATTTCTCATATTGTTGCCTAAACCTACACCCTGAAAAAATGCAGGACGAGTTTTTTGTTTGAATTAGTTCGTACGTTGTGACTACGGCGCAGTTTCTCGCGTTCATCATCATTTTCTTGCGGCTTGTCTCCGGGTGCATTTGATGATAGAGATATTTCTGACTCGGTCAGCCTTAAAGTGAGTTAGATTGGTGGAGCTAAGGATCAGAATACAGCATTTGCCGTGATTCAAATGTTTACTCTGTTTTGGGATGCGCAATTCATTTCTATTTCTCTTTGAAGATTCATTGGGTAGGCGTTTGAGCTGCGGATGTTGCCTATAGAGTGACTTGGCGGGAGTATCAGTGTACCGTCCCATACACGCTGGGGTAACTATTTAATCGACCTGTCGGAGGGCATGGAAGGCTTGGGTGAGCCCGGGCGACTGGCCCCCGGCCTCCTGGATTTGAATCCCTGAGGGCTCGCGAGGTGGAGCGTGCACATGGCCCCTGACAGATGCGCTTTACCCAGGATTGTTGAATGTGCAAGTTAATGTCCAGCGTGTGAGTCCGACGATTTGTAACTGTTGAACGTGTACTGTGTAAAGGCCTCCAATTGAGACTCTAGTGCTGTTGAAGTTCTTTTCATATGACGCACATATTGTATGATGAGATAATGACTGCGAACAGCTCGGAGCTTACTATTAAATGAACCAAAGCAAAAGGGAGTGTAGTACGCTCAATCGCGGCGTTAACAATGAATGACTCTGCTGATACCGCTTGACGCTATTAACGGGACAAAGTAAGATACTTGTTCTACTCAAGGGTTCTCTTGTTTTGTAGCAATCGTTTTCCAGAGAATGTGATACGAGCTTTGAGCCAGAGTACCCTTCTGCTCATGATCGAGTCGCAACGAACCTTAATTCAGACATGAATGTAATATCCAAGTCCTGTTTTCTCATGTTGCGAGCAAGGCTTACATTTCTAGCGCACCGTCAGAAATTAAGGGGGTTTTTCAGTCTTGGTCGCAAAAAAAGCGCAAAGAAGCAGCTACATTTGAAAAAGTTCGCTGACGAATAAATTCTTACTGAACTGTCCTATGTCAGAGAAAGATGTGGGTACAGTTAAACATGGGGGCATTGTGCTCCAGAAGTCTGTCTTAAGGCCACTAGGATTAAGCCTACGGCAGAGAACGAATTCCGTACGATGATGCTATCTTATTATCTTTGCCTTTTTTCGTTTCCTGAACTCAACTTCCCTTGCTACTATACGCTTTGGAAGCTTCCCTCTTCCGCAGCCAGTTGCGAGGCAGCACCAAAACCGAAGGTGATTGTCAAAAAGAGGGCATGGTCAGACAATGAACAAAGGTTCCATAAATGGGCACCTGTTCAGAAACGAACTTCGTCTGCAATTTTTTCCAGGGGTGTGAGATGGAGGGCGTGACCGTCTCCTCTAATGCATATTTGAATCAGAGCTGCTTTTCCACGTAGGTAATTAAGTCTAAAGATTGTAACATTTGTTATGTTTTTAAAGAGTTGAAACTAACAGTAATTGGACTGGAAACAATCATTCAACCACGCCCCCATCGTGTCTTCTCTGAGAATAGATAGTCGACGTACGGAAAACTTGACGCTCTGAGAGCATATATGACGCATATGAGCTTATTGCAGGACTCTATACGGAGAGCTCAGGTAACTAACTGTCTTGATGTGTTTGTGTGCCGGACAAACCACCATTCGGAAAGTTTCGATCTAGAAAGGTAGATTGGCCGTCAAAAATCAGAAGCATTTGTACAAATTATGAGATAGTGTCGGAGCTTGACGCATTAAAAAGTTTTTTGTGTTGACTTTTTGGCATGCATGAGGCCTCGGATGTTCAGAGTAATTCAACAATACTCGCAACAACGAATGTTCGCGCACCTAAAAGGCTTCCAGAATTTTGGCTATTTTCGGGCGCGTTAGAAGTCAAAACGATTTGATTTAGCTTATTTTCTTTAGAATGTGGTACAGGTGAAGATCTTCGTTGCTTACAGTTGGACTCAGATTCTAAAATATTGTAGAATAGTGTGTCTTCTTCAGAAGGCCTTCCACCGGCACTGCTTCCAGGATAGGCCTAGATGGTTACAAGACTGCGCATAAACTCGTTGATCTCGACCCATTCAATGCTGTTAAAAAATTCGTCGATTTTTTTTGCCTCCGCACCCCCCCCCCTCCTCCCTCCATACACTCCTACCTTCATGAAATTGTGATTTGGCCAGCAATCAATGTGCAAAAAATCAAAACTTCTCGGATACTACGGCGCCTTGGTTTGGCACGGGCCTGTTACCTGGTGTTGCTTGCCTTGCATGTAGCGACTTGGTGAGCCAATAGGCTTTTTTGGATTAATTGCATTTCTCTGGAAATTTCAATCGATATATGGTGCTGTTAGCGAGTATATTAATTCCGTTTTGACGGTTAAAGGAGCGTGACATCTGTTTTGAGCTCTACCCTCCCGCCCCCCGCTTGTCTAATATATTTGTACATAGCTAGTACAGGGGGGGGGGCCAAAAAAAAAAGACATTTTGCCTCCACTTCCAGATGGATTTAAGCACATTTTACTCAACTCAGACCGAACGGTTCCAACTTATTATTAAAGAGTGCATTCCATTCTATAAGAAAATCTTCATAGTGGCCACGTACGTGGACGGCATCAGAAGAATTAGCCCTGGAAACATGGTGCACTGGTCGATCTCAATGGGGTCTTCGAAGGATCGTGTACCATAACGACCCTTACTGGAAAGCTAGTTCCGAGGGGATTTGCACAGTGGTAGCTAATGCCTCTAGAAAACTATCCAACATTAAATCGATTCACGAAATTGCGTAAGAGCTTCAGGCTGAAGCTCTTACGGTAGACCTCCTTGAGCCTGACGACGGTGACAGATGACGTCATATTCTGAAGACGGTGAGGGCAGTGAAGGAGAGCCTGCGTACACTTATAGAGGAACACTTAGGGAATACTCTGCTGAGGAACTCCCGTCAACGACAGCAATCTCTGCGAAGAAAAAAGAGCCGAAGTCCGACATAGGCAAAATGTCTTTTTTTGCCCCCCCCCTGTATATATGGCTGAAAAGCAATTGCATGAGAAAATTGTCTCGGAAAATAACCTAACAATATGATACGTGAAACCATAAATCCATGGGAAAATCCGCTGTACACATAGAGTTTATGTAGCCCGTTTTTGAGAGCGCAATCTATAAATTCAGTGTTTCATACTTCATTCAAGTCCGGTATGAGCCGACAAACGTCGATTTAAGGGCTGTGGGTGGCAGTGCGAAGGTAAAAGGCGCTATCACTACCTGATTCGAAAAAAAACACTTGCTAATGAAAAAATCTAATCCTCCGATTCAACTCATATTTGGCTATTTTCACATCGCATTCCAAATTTTCCATTTTGCTATCGGTTTCTCCTTCCTCCTGATTTATCTAACACAAAGCTGTAGGCCTCTCCAGCCTTAAACTGGGTTGGTAATGGGGCCTTCTATACCGATAGTATATCGGAACAACCCTTCTTGGCCTGTCAAGTCTTCCCAATGATCTGAAAACGTCTGATTTCTATACCCTTTTGAACGCCACAATGCAGAAATTCCTTAAAGCAACAATCCAGGAACGAATTCGCGGGTAAGGACCACCTATAATGACGTTGCAGGTGAGAAGTTGGTCAATGGAGAAAGAAAAAGTAGAAAAAAACGTCGGGCAGGGGCTTAGACAGGGACTCCCCCTGCCGTTTAGGGAGACGTGTGTTGGACGAGTTGTCCGAACCTGCCCGTAGTACATGCGCTCAATTGCAACTGCTGGCAAATAGCTGCATGCTTGCAAATACATAACTATTTGCCAGCAATCGAAATTGAAGCGCTTCAATTGCGTTCTTATGGAATCGACCTCATACAGCGCGGCGGTCCCGCAACGACCGCTAGTCAAGCGCGGACTCTGCACAGCGTATGTTGGCGATCCGCCTCTTTATGGGTGATCCGCCCCCTCCAAGAGGACTTCGACCCCTTCCAGCGCATTTTAGAGGTAGGTTTTGAACTTAAAGACATTTCCTATAAACTTTAGTTGGGCTGGGGCATGTTTTGACCGCCTAATGACCAAGTAGTTGAAACCCTGCCTGGACTGTTTTTAAGGGTTTTGGTTGCTTAACACATTGCGTACCGAGTTGGCTTCACATCTGAATGGTCACGCATATACTTGCCCTTCTTGCATCACTCATGTACCCATCGGGTCACAACACTCAATTCATTTCTTGTGAAGCAATACTGATCAAAATTGAAGCATATTTATTCGAATGCGGAGTACATCATATGGTGGACCTAGGACCAGGGTCCGATCCTATCGTTGATACTTTTTGCAAAACTTTTACGACCCCCTCCTTCACGAGAAGTTTCATACGACCCCCTCTTCACAGCCACTTTTTCCCTCAAAAAACACCGTCGAGCGGGCGGGGGGGTAATAACAACATGAAACCGCAAAATTTCCCTATAATTTTTCCCTTTTCACTTAATTCCACGCTTCCTTTTAAGAGTTCTAAGGAAACAATAACGACCCCAATACAAACTTCAACAAACTACGACCCCCCCGTTGCTATTATACTTGTAGCAACGTAGGGTTGACCCTGGCTGAGACTCCACCAATTAGAAAAAATTGATTTATATTAGATACCATCTTCTGAACAACAAATATCCGTTAACAGCGAGTTTTATTGTAATACTTCTTCTGTATTCTTCTGAAGAAATTTATAAGAATCATAGTAGTTGAACTAGCTACTACCCAGACATGAACTGTGATGAAATTGAAACTCGTAAAACTCCTCGATGGAGTTGATAGTAATTCTGGTAGCCATATCAGAGAGCAGTAAAAATCGCCCTGAGAAACATAACGATTCGTCGAGGATTGCTCTCATTCTCCAGGCAATCTCCTCCGGCCACCCGCTCCGCCTTCTGTGGCTCCTGCCTTACATTCACTCTCGACACTAACTCTTGCACAGTGAAGAGCCATGGTCGAGGAGTTCTTTGACAGCTTATTCACCCTGCCAGAGAGCCCGTAAAGTTCTAATGATGAATTTGATGATTCATGGAAAAATGATAACTAGGCACTTAAACTGGAGCTCATATAAATTACTTGTGAGGGAACTGAGAACTCGTTCACTTCTTGGTGAAAGTGGACAACCAACCACCGATCAGAGCATCCCGTACAATCCAAGTGAAATGGATGACTCGTAACCTCATACAAAAAAGGTAACTGGGCGCCTATAGTAAAATCCCCAGCAATTTGCGTGATAAATTAAATCTCAATAAGCAGTTACAAATATCGTCGCACGAAATAGTTCCACACCTTCCCTTTTCGACCAGAATCGAAACCAGAACTTCGCTAGGTTCAACATAGCTCTCGCCAAATGAGACAAAGGGATTAAAAAGAGATCTCGAGAAGCAACTACTTTATCGGTGATCAAAACCTCTTGATAACAAGGAGTTTTCGGTTTGCAGCAATGGTTATTATCCAGATGATAGATTAGAAATCAATATTATGATTTGCAGGCCCCGATCGTACTTCTAGGTGGTACAGCTCTTATGGGGCTTCATCTTTTCCCGTTTATCATTCATCGATCACTAAGCAATGGTTGTTGCTGCTCAGTCTACACTTCTACGAGATTACTCATTCTCCCGATGTGTAGTCACCTATATCCCGTTTTGACACCCATTCCACTTCTACAATTCCACGACTGTTGTGAACTTTCGGACACCACAGTGGAGTTTTTCTGAAGCACATACGTTTAGGCAATCGGCTTATGAATATTTTTGAATTTGTTCGCGTATTTTTTTTGTGATCCTGTTAAAAGAGCTCACACAAAGGACAAAGCGAAGAAGGGAACCTTATGAAGATTTATGAAACTTGATGACACGCAATTCGCCGGAGAAGATATGATCCCAGCGACATAGCATAGTCCACCGCACCGCTGTGAAGAGCTCCGGCGAGAAGAGACCGGCGCGGTACGCCTCCCCCTCACTGTCTGATCCTCTAGTTGTGATATACAGAGCGAGGGGCGTCAGCGTTGAAGAGTGCACCACCAATAGTGGTCGCACCAGTGCGTCGACGGGCAGAGAAGGGATTTCATTACCAGGTTCCGGGCCTTTCTTATGGTATTTTCATCATCCCTATTACAACTGAATAGCTCTACCTTCATTTCTGAGGAGCTGCCTTTTGATCGCGGTGGTTAGCGCCTTACAAGCTTTACTCTGCGCGGAACCCTTTTATTCCAAAGGCTCTATTCCAAATCCGCGGAAACGAGAGAAAAAGAGAAAAATTCAAGCAATAAGACCAACTCATTGATCAATACTTTATTTCATTTGAACACATATAGGTGACGGTGAAAGAGTTGATGAAGAAGTTCTATGGAAACGGCTCAACAATATGCCGATCCCGTAACTATCTATCAGTTCAGTAATAATACTAACAAATTACTCAAGGTCAGTAGGGGAAAAACAATGAGAGAGATCTTTCGAAAACTTCCGAAGAGCCACATACCCTTGGTAGGCATATACCTGAAGGAATTGAATTCCTGATGAGCATTTTTACAACACACAAAATTCAGGTTCAAAGCTAGCTATACCCATCTGCAAACCCACATTTTCGGAAACTCGGCAAGTTTAGTTGCAGAGAAGAATCCACAAGACTTCGATCCCATTACCACAATGGTGATAGCAACAGTTATCAGAAGTAGATTTACCATTATGAATAGAGCTGGAATTTGATGGAAATTAAGTGTTATATTAAGCAAATGTGACAGCTCAGCGAAGTTTTTGTTGCAACGCACGGCCCACAACGGCGTTCTTTGGTGCGCAGCATCGTGCGAGTGAGAGTTGCGCACTTCCATCTGCGAATGTAGCGCCACATTCACTACCAAAGCATTGTGGGAGCAGCGCGAGAGGTCAGCAACATAAACCAGAGTACGATAACCGTTGAAATGTCGTGAATTGAAGCTCGACCTCGAGCAAAGGTGCTCCATAGCCATGCGCGGTAGGAGGTCGCGACGCGTAGTGACTGCGTGGCGACTGTGAAAGATCCTGGGTGTCTGGCCCTCGTCGCGCTCGACGGACTCAGTGAAGTTCCCTTGGCTGTCTGCCGGCCCTCGAAATCGCTCGCCAAAACTTGCCGCAGGTCTTGATATGATGCCAATCATGTGAGCGCGACGCTTATCGTATGTTCGCGGTCGCATTAGGCACAGCTGATCTTCCAATCGGTTATTGTTCACATAATATTTACCGCATAGGATTCAGGTGCGTGGAGCTCGTTATAGGATTCAATACGCGCATTCGCTTACGAAAATCAATTATAGCTTAGCTTACTCACATAATTTTTATTTCAACCCAGGCCTGTTAGCCCCATACTCACGTGTTCCATCAACGGTTAGTTTTTTTTTTCTGTCATAACTATTGTAGATATGGGAGCTGCCCTGTTTGCAGAAAATGTGTAGTATTCAGTGGTATTTAGTTTCAGTAGTTATTCTATCTAAATACATTATTCCCAGATAATTAGTGTTTCAATAACGAGTGTTGTTCATTTCCTGCTTTTTGCTTCACACTATGCGTTGGCACTATACATATTGAAATTATGTACGGCTAGTCATTTCTTCTGTCTGACTTGCTCAGTGTGACGAAATGTGATTACAAGCACGTGCGGGAAGCTGTACTGGTAGCTCTTCGGTACTGATGGCTTCGGCAATTGCCAAGACCGTGCACATGGCAAGAATGGCAGCAAATCCAAGAGCAAGCTGAAACTGCACACTTGTTGAAGAATAATGTGAAGCACTAGGCAGCCTTCAGGGTTATTGCCTTGTAGACAATCTACGAAACTAACCTTTTCGAGGTAGTCCGTTTTGTCGAATTTCGTCCAGAAAAGCCCAAGTACACAAAGAAAAGTGAGGATGAAAGATGGTAGAACTATCATGACAACATAGAATGTTGAACTTCGTTTGACGCGAATGATGTAGGATACCTTCAATGTTTTGCATCTCGTAACTGAGGTACTGTGAGCTAGTTCAAACCTTTCTGAGGAAAACACATATGGATTGTTTCGCGGCATAATCACAGGCAGTCTGTCGATAGAGAAGATGCACATTGGGAAAGTAACAAGCTGGAAGCAGCAGCCAAGTGTGATTAAGCGGGTATGGGCGTTCTGCTGGCGACAGTTGAGCTACTTGACAGCGCAGCAAGGCCTTCAACCGAATACCTTTACAGCCCCAAACCGGTCCGGCCACGTTTTTGTGCCGAGTATGTTCGCTCTGGCCATTCTGAAGCTTTCAGTTTGAGCAACCCTATCTTCTTGTTCACATATCTGCGTTACCAATATAAGCACAATATCTGCTGACATAATTTTGGAGTTAGAATTTTTGACGTTGATCATTTATCATTAAAAATAGGATTTTTCGCACATGCCTCGTCTAATATAGCTACATTACCGGTTATACATTGATGACCGAAACTTCTAGCTACTCATTGTGCGTATCTTACGATTTCTCATGCCTTTTTTGCCACTCGGCTACGTCTAGCACCCTGTCCACTCCTAGCCGATCCAGATCGATCGATAGCTCGCTGCCTTTGTGGGGCAGAAAGTCGCGATTTAGGGTATGTGGATGGGGACTATCCAGTGCGTGTGCCGTCGTAAGACAAGTTAGTGTTAGGCAACCTTGGCGGTGAGACGAGAATGACTTTACACTCTGAATGGGAACTATGATAGCGGCATATTCAAGGATCTGACCGTTTCATAGGTTGCTGATGTGCCTTCGACCAATTGTTCTGGGATGCTGTGACATCTTCGATCACAGTCCACTAACGGTACCTCCTGAAACTATTCAGATTCGTGTTCATAAACATTCTCCTGCTGGCATTTCATAAGGTCGCCTCCATCAGTAGTTGAAAGTGCTTTCTTTCAGAAAAAAGTCAGTTCAGTTCAGTTATTTCGCCAAAAGTTACAGCTAATTCATTGAGAGTTTCTGACAAGGAACAAAGGGTAATGCACGAAAAATCATTTCGACGAATACTTTAACAGTTACTGTATATATCTATTGCAAATTGCAATTCAAAAAATGTATCACCGCTAATGAGGTGTTGATGTACGGTTTCACTGCAGACACAAAGGCGGACTTCAGCTATCCAAAAAGTGTACGACGAAAAGCCACTTCACAAACTTGATGGTCAAATGGAAATCTTTGTATCTGAAACATATTTTATTGACACGAAGAGATTATAAAAAAATTGAGCACGCTGCAGCGAGAAGCTTCCGCTCTATTACTGTTCTCTACATATCATGGTTCACACAGTGGATGCACGCATTCCCTTTCTTTATCGCTGCCACGCACTACACTTTAGTGCATGGCCGTATAACTCTCTCTCTCTCTCTCTCTAATTTTAATACCCCTTGGAGTGATGCTTTCTGCATGATTGAATGGTAGGGTAGGTAGTTGCAATTTCAGAATCGTAACGTCTTCAAGAGCCGTTGTTAGTTCTGCCTGTGCATCCACGTAATGAAGCATTTTGAAGACCGAAATTGTACTTCCTGGGCATGTAGCGTACCGGTGTATTTTCAGGCGGCAACATCTGCGAGAACACTGACATCGCGAGGTCAATGGTTAGCGACTGGCTCATTCTAGCTCTATCACGCATCCTCCGGCAGAGCTTGGATGGACATTTCATCGAAGGACACACTGGCAGACAGATCGACAGAAACAGACAATACGATCTTCACGGAGAACTCTATTGGGAGGACACAGGTACACACATACATATATAGGAAGAGAAATTTTGCCATTGGCAGGCCGGTGTCCATGGCGAATGTCGTCAAACTGCGTGACGCCAGCAGGGCTTTTCATACTTTGCGTCGAGCACTGGCGTGCGGACAGTGCGGGGGGGGGGGGGGAAGGGGGGGGGGGGGGGGGAATGTTGCAGAGGGGAGAGGGAAACTGCAATAGAGCGTGCACACGCGCCTGGGCACGACGCGGACCTTGACGTGCAGTGCGGTATGCTTCGTGCCGATAATCTTAACTTTGATGCATTCTTTCTGATTTTTGATGTTTTGTGTGTGGCCTTACTTTTGTATGTGTGTTTTTTTTTGCTTGAAACATTTTCCGTTTTGTATGGAATGATGTATAAAAATATGAATATTTGCGCACGGATTTAAAAGGGTGCCGCTCATTCACTTGCAACTGCACAACAGTACTCGTTTAGGGAGAACTGGATAATATCAACTAAGATAAAAAAAAAGTGGATGGATGTTTGATGTTGAGATTATCCATTGGAATTTCTCTGTACGCCAAGTAAACGGTCATGGGCCAGTGCGCTTACTGACGCTCTTCCCACTGCCCGCAACGTCCGCAACGGCGCAAATTATGAAAGCAGCCTAACATTTAAGTGTTGCTTCACAGGAAGACAAACCGAGGAACCTTTGCGCACACTCCATTTTTTTCAAAATTTCAATTTTGTTCTTTATTACCTCTATCTTGTTCAAATCCCACCGTATCACCGTTGTTTTTTTTTGTTAAACACAGCACTTATCGATTTTTGTGCTGTATCAAATTAATGACCATGGCTTTGAAACTTTGAAGCTATCTCTCCTCATGCAGTTTGTGAACACATGGTGCACTTAAAGGTATCGTTTACGACAAGATACTCTTTCCCTTCCCTCACACAATGGTGTGATTTGCGATGATTTTAGGCAGTGCATCAAGTCCATGCACGGAATTTCAGCTCACGAAAAGGGAAACCTGTTTGAGAATTACATTTTGTGATCCAGATGGACCCATGAGCAGAACCAGGGAGCCGCGTCTAACAATGAGTGAGGTGGGGCTTATTAGACGAAGCATTTGCTTAAAGATTACGAGTTCGGAGAGTGGATCAAACGGACTCGGTTAGGAATGTATGGGATGAAATAGAAGAGGAAATGATACTGCCGTAGGTGAGAAGGCCAAAAGGTCTTCCCAATGACGGCATTCCATGAAATAAATGGAAGCATTCCTCCGCCAACATTTTGGACAGATGTTACGGTGGGATTTGAACAAGTAATAATTGCTTTAGTTTTTGGATGTTTATCAGCACAGAGGCTTCCTTTCGTTTTCTTGTTAGTATAGTAGATAATGGCTCTGAAGCTAACGATATAGTAGATTGGTAGTCAAAGACAGAATCACTTTCATAGCATTAGACTCACCTTCAAAGGGCATAGGACCGCCACCACAAGCGAAGTATAGTAGTGCATATCTCCGTTGCTCTTCACCTGAACCAAGAGAATGAGGAAGAATTACTAGCACAATTTGGTTTTCCGTGCAATTTTATACTTTGTTTTTACGGGCAAAATTGGGGTCGTGGAAAGTGTAGCTGCTTACCACGAGCAGGTGCCGGGAAAGAACTTAAGGGGTGGACTACCTAATTGTCCATCCCTTTGTGTTTGGTAAAATGGCAGAAGGCATTTTGGGGGATGAAGCCTTGACTGTATCACAAGTACATTGATTTCAGTAAGGTGCATTCTAATCGTACACTGTGGTATCAGAAAGAAAATATTACATGTAACGCTTCCCGACTGTGTTCTGATACTATCGATTTTCCTCTTCCGAAAAAGACAAGCGAAGTTGAAATTCTGAATAATTAAAAACACTCACATAAACGTGCTGAATATGTGTTTCCCTTATGTCCGAAATGGACTGGCTGAAATGCAGAGGAGTATGTACACAAACAAGAAATAAAATTATAAGGGAAAGCTGACTCGCGCACTTTATATTCGGTCAAGCACGTGCTCGAAAATCTCGACAAGCGAGGTCATGTTTGGTCCAGTGGGGAGGAGGGGTTGATAAATGGTGAGATTAGCAGTCAATAGATTGGTGTTGAGTCTCTGGAAGTAGAGCACATGGTGCGCCCCTGGACAAGTACGACTAATGTCGGAAGAAAGTTATGGTCAGAGAATTGCAAAAAATGCCTTCAGTAAAGATGGAACCCCAAACTCTTGTTCCCACATATTTTTTGGCATTCCTAGAGAAATTCAAAATGATACTGAGTTTTATGTTCCACGTACGCGCCCTTGTAAAATGGAAAACAACCATTTTAAAAAGCGGTTCACGTCCTCAAAAGCTTCTCTGGTGTACGCGTAA